ACTTGAAAATTTAACTTTAAAGATGAATAGTGGCCAACTGTATCCTTGTTAAATGCCTCAACAAGATCCTGAGATCATGATTTTTATAGGGTTTTTGATTATTTTAATTGTCGACCTAGTACTTAGATGGGTCATAAGTGAGTACTGCTGAAAAGTCTTAAATCAGCGGGAAACATCTGTGCAGTGATCCTCGGTTTCCAATGTCTCTGCAACTCATATCAGCCTGTGAAGAAATATATCCTTATAATTAACTGTGCTAAATATTACGAAAGTACCTACTTCGTCAGCACTGGATGATCTTACTTCGATTGAACACTAGTAACTAGCGTGATATGCCTTGTTCTTTCTATGGTGCAGACTGAATTCCATCAATCAGCCTTGCAATGTCCCCATCATGTCATTAGGTAGCTCGCCATCACGGTGCACATCGATTTGATAATATTAGATGGTCGGACGCAATCTTTACGAGGCCCTGGACCTAGACTTCATGCAAGTTGGCACTCACCAATTAGCAAGACGTATCTGCAACCTTGAAGGGACCTACTCATACCCTTCAGAGAATCGAAGCCACGTCACTCAGTGAGTACTGCAATCAAAAATGTTACCACTGAGCTAATCGGGCTATTGGATTCTTTCATTGGACACTAGCAACTAGTGTGTTATATCCAGTCCTTTCTTTGGTGCAGATTGAATTCTATCAACAGACAAGAGTCGATGTAACGTAATCCTTTTCAATTATATGGAGCGATTAAAACACTCAATGCCTCTTATTACATTTTTATATCTTAAAAATTATACAACAGATTTTTCAAAATTAATTACATCCAAAAAAGAAGATATCTCAGACTGATTTTCAAAAGAATTTTATTTCCTAATTAATTAACATGTTATTTTCACCATTTTATCTAACTAAAATTTTGTATGTCATTTAATAATTACAAAAATACTGACATTTTTGTGGACACAAACATGAAATACACGTCACTGGGTAATTTCGACTTAACAGATACACAAAGCAATGTTCCAAGATGTTGCATTAAAGCAGTCTGGGAAATATGCTTCAATACAAGTCTTGTGTAAAAAAGAAAATTTTCAACAAACTACATTAAAAGTAACATACGATCTGTTACCTCTCACCTTTACGACCTTTGTAGGATATAACAACTTTGTTTAACGATTACAATTGATGTGTTGCTATCTGAGCGCCCTCCTTTATAGCTGACTGAAACTTCCTTGAATTGCTCGCAGTCATAAAATGCACAAAAACAGCAAGGGGACAGTTATTCGCAGTAAAATTTCAGGCACTGTCAGATTTAATTTAAAAACGCCGTTAGCAAGCAATGCAGATACAGTTTCTTCTCAGTTACCAACTAAGTACGGTACAACTAAATTATTTAACAAATAACAGAGAAGATTTGTAGCTCAGGTGGATGATTTGCAATTAATAGTGTTCTCTGAGCTGTTTTTTGGTTTAGTTGCGGAGCTTTCGTTTTCCTTTTGGACAACATCTTCAGTCTTGTAATAATTAAGAGAAATGATTTAGAGTATACCCATAAAGTAATAAACAACATATTTGACGATATCAAATTCACAAGAGAAGAAGAATTAGACAACAAAATCCTATTTTTAGATGTCTTAATCAGGAGAACCAACACAGGAAATTTAGAAACACAATTATATAGAAAATCAATGCACACAGATCAAATACTCAACTATACTAGCAATAATCCAATTACTCACAAAGAAACTATGTGCAGACATTGTTTAAAAGAGTTCAAACACATCGTAGTACTCCAGAGTTGAAAAGAATGGAAGAAAAATACCTACAAACGGTCTTCAAAAAGAATGGTTATCCACAAAATTTCATCAAAATGCGTTTAAAATCGAATCACAACACCAACAAGGAACCATCATCAAAGACCACAAGAAAAATCATCCTAACATACATGAAAAATATCTCTAAAATAACAGCTAGAATACTGAAACCGTTCGATATAGATATAGCACACAAGCCGGTCTAATCGCTTAATTCGAAATTATGCGAACCGAAAGATCCAGCAGAAATAGGAGATAAAATTAATACCATTTACAAAATAAATTTTTATGAACTGCAACAGGCATTACATCGACCAAAGTAGCCGTCCCTTCGAATCAGAATCCAGGAAGACAAATCAGCCGTGAAAAGACACGATATATATTCTTTCATATCAATGCATATAGGCATTTATAGACATCAGTTTGATAGGGATAATGTCAAAATCTTAGACATCAAAATTGTCAGGGAATTTCTAGAAGGCAAGCCTGGTACTCAAACGAATATACAATCAACAAACACGTTAATATAGACCAAATATACCAACCAATAAAAAGTAAATCAGGTGACCAAAAAGTTTAAAAATCCGAGTCAATAGAAAATGATCAGTACATATGTAAAGATAGTTACCAGGAGACACAATTATATCACTCATGAGAAATTTAAATCATTTCACTTTATGCTAAACATCACGCTGAAGATGTTGTCCAGAATGACGACGAAAGCTCTGCAACTAAACCAACCAGCTTAGAGAACACTATTAATTGCAAATTATTTAACTAAATTAATCTTTAGTAGTAGAATATTTTCAACAAGATGGGATCAAAACTCTGTCATCAGGATTCACACAACAACAATTCTTACAGACAGTCCAAGTTCAAAATTACCTCCATTTATTCAAACAAAATCACATCGTATTATAACTCATTATTAGGGTGTTGCATAACCAAAAAGAGAAGCAATAAAATTAGAGAATAAACAGTGATAAAGACAAATAACAAGGGTTAATTCAAAAGATGATGTGCAAATGTGAGAACAAATTTAGCTGAAACATCCGAATAAGTATCAATATTGTAATTGAATCGATCAGGAGGGATTTTCTAAATAGTTATTCCATTACAAAGCGTAGGATCACCAGCTTTGTTAATAAAACTGTTCATGGTATATTCCCCTGGCGATAATTCAATGCATACTTAGGTTTTGATAAGTTATTAATGATACCAGTATTCAGCTATATTCTGGAAATTATGTTTAAACACAATATAAAATTCTTAGTATAATATCTTAATACATATTTACTCCCGTACAGAATCTTCAAGTAAATGTTCATAGTTACGTCATTCCATTTGGAACAAGGATGAGTACTGTATGATATTTTCCCTTCATTTAACTCCACAGTGATAGGTTGGAAGCCAATTAAAAATTTTCGTGAGTTCATGTTGAGATGCAATTACACAACTGGAAGACTAAAACGACAGGAAAGAGAAAAAAGTAGGTGCATTATACCCAGTAGTTTAAGCAGGCTATCAGAAGTAACGGGTCCTCCTTTATGGCTGTGAGACTTGGCCATTGAAAATGAAAGATACGAAAAGGCTAGCTTCCTTTGATTATAGGTGTCTGCGTTCTATTTCCCGTGTGAAGTGGCACAATAGTGTGAGCAATATTGGTGTCTGGTATCGGTCGAGTGCTAGGTAAGGAGGGGAAATCAATAGACGACATGTGTTACGCATGTACGTTTAACCATCACCTTCCTCAACAATGGGAAATGTTAGCTGACATAGGACCGACGAGGTTGGAAAAGAGCTAGTGGTAGTCAAACCAAAACATGGTATCATCAATGAAATTCACAACAATTAGTTTCAGTCCACCACGAGCCTGCCTTGTAACCGGAAGGTCCTGGGTCCGGACCCCAGTGGGTGCGTACTGCCGATGATTCCCAAAACCAGGATGAAACAGCTGGCTGTCTAGTACTCGCAGCTAGTTCTCAATGGTTCTCTAACTGATATCAATCCGTGATCAACTCATATAAACAAATCTAATCCTTACAAACCAACTAATGCAAATATTCAAAAGATAGCTGAGAATTTTGTAAGACAATGTTATCAGTTCGGGTGAATAATGCAGTCACCTATCGTCAAAGAGAACTGTTAGTTCAACAAACTCTCTAGAAGTTTCGCTTATAGTCAAATATCTGTAAGAATCATGAATAAAAATGAGTCAAATCCTAGTTTTAGATGTTTCAGTGGTGAAGAAAACAACAGCTGAAGTTTTTAAAATCGGAAGACATCAAGTGCTTCTTAAAGAAGAAGAGTTGTTGTACAAATCACGTGGTGAATGATAATATAGTATATCCCAAAAAACACCGCTGGAATATTAGTAAAGACCAAGAATTTCCGACACACTAAGCCACATGAAACGATGAAGATGCAATTTTGTCTAAATATGACTATCAAACAACTTTTACAACAACAAACTAGTGTAAGACTTCTTCCTTGAAACTAGTAAATTCAGGAATATGCTTTAACATCACTCCACGTGGCTAAACCAAAACCGCCTTGAATCTGATTGGTTATTTTTTTAAGATATATGACATATCACATACCTATGAAAATGTTTCCTCACCCTTGTCTGTCTATCTGGCTGTCTGCCTATCTATCTATCTATCCACTGAACAGCACACAAAATTATCTTTGTAAGACCCAATATTAAACGGGTAGGAGAGAATATCTTACACACGCATTTCTTTCTTTGCATATTACCTATTATTAAATTCTTCCTAAGCAATGGATATACCTATTCGTGTTGTGTTATTTTCACCCAAGGTGAGTAAGTACTAAAAGTGCCTTGTGTTAGTCACTCCCTGTCTCTCTCTCTCTCTCTCACTATCTATCTCGCATCATTGGGACTATGTAAATGTGTACTGTGGACGAAAGAAAATTCATCTGTTCTCTAGAGTGTGTTATTCAGACAATTTGGATGCGTCATACTCTGTAGACAGTTGATAAGTGGAACAAAGAATTCATCATATTTGTAAAATATGATTCTGCACAGTTGATACAAACATTTACAAATGAATTAATGGAATCAGAGTAGTGGAAAATTATCAATTAAATCGGTTAGAAGTATAAAAAGTATTTCTTTTTAAAAACCCGCACCAAACATTTTCTTTAAAAAAACATAAACACTTATGACAGGAAATATCATGTATTCATTTGGGAATTTATCTACTGCATTTTGGATATTAGTAATAAGTAAGTTTTCATTTGTATTATATACGTACATATATATATATATATATATATATATATATATTTAATGCGCATATATCTTCTCAAATGTGGTAATGTAATTGGCAGAAGTTAGAAATCATAGGCTGGCCACTGGATCGGGTCTCAGTGGCTTAATGATCTACGAACTCGCCTTATAACCGGAAGGTTCGAACCCCTGATGAAGAGTCCCAAAACATCAGTCGAATACTCCTAGGTTTTTCGATTGTTCTCTAACCGATGTCATTACTGTCATACTACTATTGATGCTGTTACTAATCATTGACTTCGGATCTTGAAAATACCAGGCTACTTTTTTTTAATTTTTTAAAATTTAATCTTCGATACAAACTTTCCAGGATATTTGTAACTTAGGTGACTGAGAGTAGTGGATTTATAGAAATTATTTTGAATTACCACTTGATTGACTTTGTTGGACTCTAATGCTCGACTTTTGCCGACATGTCACCTCCTAGTGCGGCAGTTAGACACTGGCTTGAGGTCAACAGTAATTTTTACGAGTTGATCACAGATTGATATCAATTAGAGAACCATTGAAAACCAGGGAGTATTGGACAGCTGCTGTTTCATCCTAGTTTTTGGAATCATCGGCAGTACGCACCTACTGGTTTTCAGTGCTTCTTTAACTGATATCAATCCGTGATCAACTCGTAAAAACATATCTAACCGTTACAAAGCAAACTATAGAAAAAGTTAGTAATGTTATTGTGAACTGAATAATACCTGTTTTCAAAGGGAACTGTGGTGAAATTTCACCTACTCGAATTGCAAATTGCAAATGTGATGTATGGTATTGTCTCTTCGGACAAGTAACTATCCAGAAGTTAGCTCTCTCAGCTGATGCAAACCACGTCGCTGATCAGCTCTAACTCAGACAAGTGAAAAAGCCATCCGTTGTTTATATCGCTTCGACCTGGTTGACAGGCACTACTGGTTGTTGTCACTGGTATCCGAATATTCACTTCAGTCAATTAGTAGTGTAAAGTTTAATGTTATTTCGTTGGTAGTGTTTGGTGTCTAAAACGATGCATATTGGGTCCGAGTCTACGTAGGAACACCCTCACTGACTGCGATAGAGTTACTGGTGTTAGTGGATCCCCAATAAAGCAAAGTGTATATCTTGGGTATCACTATTTGCCATGACAACCAAATGGTATCGTGATAACCTGAAGGCATCGTTAAAGTGTCCATACTGAGAGCGAACATGTCAACATGAACATAGAATTTCTCTCCACTAAGACCATTCAACGTGAAATATAAAAATGATTTGGCATGGTAAATATTGAGACACGAGTTGTTCACATAAAGGTTACTACCACACCATATAGGTCTGAAGTGTTGCTCACAGTGTATTGATCAAGTTATACAGCATAGTTAATACATGCAATGCTATTTCCCCAACCTGATATACGGAGATATTTTGTAGGCTACCACAGACCCAGACTGTATAATTATCAGTGCATCCACCTGAAGTCACAAGGTAAATTCCCACTCAAATAATTCTTGTAACTTGTAAATGACTGTCAATCAATATGACTCACTAAATGCTGAAATTTTACTTGTAGAAATCCTTCGGAAACATTTATTTTCCCTTCCGTTTTATCACTTATGGTCCAATGATAACACTAGCAGGCATACACTGACTTTCTATTCTGCTTACAATTCGAAAAACTACACGAAAACAAATAAGAATAATAGTGCCTTAATAATTTTGAGTCTTTTTTAACTTTCCACCAAATTACACATCAAAAATACTAGAGATCAGTCATAATCACTTGTCACTATTAGAATGAAATAGACGCAGATTACGTAGATTATTCATCGTGAAGATTGTAGTAATCGAAGGAAGAAGAAGAATGTTGACAGATGTCATAACAACAGATAACCACGCAAACTGACTTTTAAATCCCCCAAAAGACTACTGACCCCCCCCCACCTCTAGTACTCAAACAAGAAGAAACGTTGATGAGTGAAATCTGGAAGATATTACAAAATATATATTCAAGAGGGTAGAAAATAATTGATTAAAAAAGGAATTCAAACCAGTTCATAAAGTTATTTCATGTCAAAGCAGGAATAAAGAGTACATCATATTGCACTGTTGAAATTATTTGTCCCAAACCCTTGCGGTAGTTATTTGTATACAATATAGGCCTTCACATTTGTAAAAAATTATATTTGTAAAATCTCAGCGATATTGAAATGAGTAATTCCAACGTTTCGTTCAGCGATCTGGTCCGAACTTCTTCAGGGAAATTAATCGAAATTAACATAACAGAGGTTTATATATGAAAGGAACATCTCTTATTTTTAAAAACTTTGTCCAATCATGAGTCATAAAACAAGTATTAACAAGTATAATAAACGAAATTGTATGAGTTGTGATCAAAATTTGACCTCAGACTTACAAATATTGATCTACCTTTGTTAAACACTTTAAACACAGTAAGTATGTGTGAGGATAAACAGTTGTAAAACAATGTCTTAACGTCTTCATAAGTAGATATAGACAGTCAGGAACTTTGACCAAGTATTATTAGTTAGTAATACATATCCATTCTTATTTATTAATCAGGATTTCCTATGCGTCAGCTAATATCATACCTTCATTTCTGTTCAGACTGTTAGTATCTAGAATTTTATGATTAGACGTATTTTCAAAATTATGGTGTTTAGGATTAGAGTTTAGTTGAAGCACCCTGTTGAACTTATTACTTTGTCTTCTTTCTGAAAATTGAGTTGCTTTATTTGACCTACTGAAGTTGTCAAGTGACTCGACAGCTACGGATTTAGTATATGCATTTTGTTGCAGACAACAGAGAGTGAAAACACAATGATTGTGCCAATTACATAGTTTCTTTGTTAATTTAATTCGATTACAAAATAAATCAGATGAACTGTAGTCAAGATTTGACAGAATAGTTCTAAAATATTCGGGTGCCGAGTGAGAATTAGACGTTTGTAAGAAATTATATTTGTAAAATCTCAGCGAGATTGAAATAAGTAACTCCAACGTTTCGTTTGGCAATCTGGTACAAACTTCTTCAGGGTTCAGTAGTGATGGTCTTTTTATGGAGTGAGTTGCTAGCGTTAAGTCAAACCTTCCTTCTTTACCGGTCTTATGATCAATTAACAGTAAGGTTTAGGAGTATGTTAGTCAGGAATCGAACCTATGACCGCATGAGTGGTCGATAGCACTGTACGACTGAACAACTGACCTTGTGTTTTATAATGCACAGGTAGAAATATCATGAGATGCCATTAATCCTGAACTCCTGGTGATTATCACCACCATCAAGGCGATCACACAAAAAGCCCAGACTATTTGTAGAATGAACTAATTCATTTTCTTTTAGAAAAAACAACCCACACTGGGAGTTAATCAGTGATACAACCTATTGACTAAACTGTAGAGATATACAACCACTGTGTAACTATTCTCACAGATTCAATTAAATTGATAACTAAACATGACTGTAATAAAACTAGAACATTTTATTTATTACTTCAGTAAAAAAAAAGAAAAATAAATTGACTTGCATAGATTAAATTATAACAAAAGTTTTTTTTTAATATTTCACAATAATTTAAAAATGTTTCTATCGTTTCCAGTAGAAACCGATCTACTTTAACACCAAATATAGCGTCAACTAATGTTAGTACAAAAAGTCTAACAATCCACTGTGTATCACACATTCATTGTCAATACACGGTATAACATTTTCTTGATTCATTTTAACTGATTTAAAAATGACTACCTCTATATAAATAATCTAGCAAGTTCATTGGGAATTTAGTATACATGTACCTATCTGATTCACCCATCTTCCCTTCAGTTGCTTATTATATTGGTTTTTACAAAATAACGAAATATTTCCGAGTTTATACTCACAAAGAGTTGAGAAGAAAAGCGCGAGTGTATTCATTAACAATGAATGATCAAATAATTCGTCTTGTCCATTGTTAAAGCGTTAAACAATAATAATATTTAAAGATCATGTATTGTACTTGTCACCTAGCAACAGATTTTACTAGTTTACTTCCTACATGGGGAAAACGACGTCTATTTTATATCTTTTTGAAAATATCATTGGGATTATTATTTCTCCTTTGTCTCTCACACACACCTCTCTCTCTCATTCATTCATTGTTCTTATCATTTATAATGGCCACTACAGAATAGGATTGCGTGCTAAGCAGTATAAACAACTTTGTATATTGTAGGCAAACATGCGTGCATACATCCGTTTGATGTTAGTCATATTAACTCTCTTGTATAATCATTATTATTATTATTCTACAAGAGTGTTATTCATCAATTAAACTGAAGATAAACTTTTTCTAACATTCATATTTTATAGATTTTTCTGTATTCACTTGTGATTTTTTAAAAGGTTTTTGGAACAGTAGATTACATAATACATACATAATAGGCTAGAAATCATAATTCTGATTTACTCTTAGAAAAAATCACTTTTTTTTCCAGTTATGAGTATACTTGTGTTCTTCTTGCAGAAGCATTAGTTGCGCTTTTTTTCCGGGGAAAGAAAAACACACACACACACTATACAGAAATACAGTCAGTGGGGTAGAAGTGATGAAAAAAAAAAAAAAAAACAAAAGATTTTCTTCAAAAGTGAAAACCTACAAAACAACTTAAATAAACAGTCAATCATCTGTCTACATAATAATTGTCTATGCAAAAGTACTGACTGTCTTTCTGTTATAGAGGGTCTGTTGGATTTCTATACATAGAAAAGTTTGAAAAATGAGGATTTTCATTAAGGTATTTATTTAGATGCTTACTGTAATTGTAATATTTTATGCTGTGTACTCAGACTACCTGAGATAATGGTGACTTAACATACTGTTGTTCATAGAATGGATGATATTTCAAGGTGTGATGACGGCCTTATCATATAACTTATTTGGTTGACTACTGAAGTGCTAATTAGGAAATCGAA